ATTAGCACAGATCTTCAGCTACATTTATCTAGCATTAGCACAGATCTTCAGCTACATTTATCTAGCATTAGCACAGATCTTCAGCTACATTTATCTAGCATTAGCACAGATCTTCAGCTACATTTATCTAGCATTAGCACAGATCTTCAGCTACATTTATCTAGCATTAGCACAGATCTTCAGCTACATTTATCTAGCATTAGCACAGATCTTCAACTACATTTATCTAGCATTAGCACAGATCTTCAGCTACATTTATCTAGCATTAGCACAGATCTTCAGCTACATTTATTCTAGATTATTAGATTTATTTCTCTAGACATTTTCACCTATGAAAATAATTTAAATTCATAATATTAAATACAAATACAAATAGTTCGCAGCGTATTTCAAGTTCGTCTCTTTAGGCTACTTTAAAGTTTTTTTTTTTTTGGCTTTTAAGTATTTTCTGTGCTTTGCTTGTCCAATGCCCGCTGTCGCTGCTTTTATTTTGTGGTCTTTGGCTTGGCCAGCGGCATATGAGTATGTATTTTATTTAATTTTCGTTTTCAATGTCGGCTTGAATTATGCAAAGCGCGCGACAATCTCAATAATTGTTGTGGATAGTGTGCGGGGGTGGCAGGGCAGAGGTGGGGTAGAGGGAGCTAGGCTGAGCGGGAGGGGGGGCTAGGTGCTACTTGGAGTGACATGGCATGGCATACAAAACAATTACTCACACTCGATTTCCCATTTAGAGTCTGTTAAATAAATATAAAGTTCTTTTGTGTAAAACGTGGCCCGCATGCAATCAAGAAATATATGTACATAAGCGCAGAGAGATTATCTGGAAATGGGAACAAAAGGCGCATAGTAAACTGCTCCTCAACTACTTTTGATTTCAGTCAAGTCGGCATTTGGCCACGGGCCAACGATTACAGCACCAGCAGCTGTAGCAGCAGCAGCAATTACAACAACAACAACAACAGCAACAGCTTTGGCAGCAGAAGAAGGCTAACAATTTCGCAAGCTGATAAAAACCAGTTTTGAGTAACGAGTCACATTTTGTCTTTGTTGTTGTTGCTATGATTATTGTTGTTGTTGTTGTTGCTCTTTCTGCCAGCTGATAACAGAGCAACAATCACCAACGATTGGCCATTGTTGTTGTTGTTGTTGTTTTTGCTTTGCATTGATTTAATACGCACTTATCTATTTATTGTGTGGATGCAACTGGCGAAGGTCACTGCGATTACAGACACCTCAATAAATTAGCATTTGCCGCTGGCCAACGACCGCATTATGGTATCCATATAAATGTTAAGAGACGTCAATATACACACGTATGTATATATATTGCTGTCTATTATATAGACATCTTTGGTTGGTCTGGCCCTTTGTTTATGTAGTGTAACACGAATTTTGTAATCATTTATTGTCAATATTTGCTCAATACTTTAAGGGTAAATTCATTAAAGGGCCGTGAAATTGGCAAGCTTGATAAGAGGCTTCCCCTATGTTGTCATAGATATACGCGAATGGGAATAATCTAATCAGCTATAGGAAAGTATGTAAAGCTCAATGAGTCTATAGGCTGATTCAATTGCAATTCATTATATGACTTTGGCTTTATAGAGATTGTGGCGAGCGAGCAGCTGAAATCTGTTTTGCATTTAAGTTGAATTCATTTTAAAGTGAAGTGAAGTGTGGACATAAGAAAATTATTATACACACATACCTAGAATAATTTATATATGTTTTACATTCATATATTATTTTATACAACATATATGGTTACTCATATTGACAAAATGAATCAGTATAAATATATTCCAAAGTAGAACGGTTCTTTAGACTGTCTATCTTTGTGAGTGCTAAAAATAAGATATTTAAGCCCACTAGAGTAGGGAAATATCTCAATAGATATAGGAGATAATTAATTTGAAATGCATTAGAATTGATACATCTTTAAAAGTTTCTGTGGCTAGAGCTATAAAAAATCCAATTAGTTGTAGACTCCTTTCTGAAGCCTGCTGATGATAATAATAAGTCAAAATGGAAAGTTTTTATATATTATTATACCCTGAACCCATTGAAAATGGGAAATCAGGGTATAGGGTTTTTTTTTTATTTGTTTAGTTTAGTTTTAGTTTATTTTTTTCTGAGAAACTTAATTATGTTGTTTAATTTTACACTAGATGAAATTACAAAATATAATATAAATTATATATATAATATAAAATATTCATATACAGTATACCAATAATGTCTTCGTACAGCAGCAACTTTTTCTTTTAGGAACTAAGAAACCTATACATATTTACCAACGTTTAGATGGAGACTTATCATTAAAAATAATTAATCTTAATCTACAAAAAAGAAAAAAAAATAATAATAATAATAATAGATTATAAAGGGACCCGTTTTTGTTACTTTATATTCATTCGAGGACATTTTAAGTCTTGTAAGCTTTAAGCTTTAATAAAAACGCTTTTCATTTATTAAATCTCTACCTACTCCCACTCTCCCTCTTCCCTCCATTTCTCGCCCCCTTCTTATCTCTCTTGAATACCTCAAACTTACCAAATATAATTAAATTTTAATAATTGTTT